GTCAAAGAGTTGTGTGGAGATTACTGTTTTTCCGCATTAAAAGAGAAAATAGCCACTGAAAATAAATAGTTTAAATTTAAGGTTGAACTTAAACATTGAAAGTTGTATTGATATACATGTCAAACATGTGTACAACATTGTAGATAGAGTCAACGATTCAAATCGTATTAAACATATTTTCACTCTAGAATCGTATAAAATTAGAAAGTGGCTTACCTTCGATTTATTGGACAGTTAATGTAGGATCTCAAAATATTAAGCACTCAAAATAATTTAATGCACAATAATTAATCAAAGACCAAACAGAAAATAAAGAGAATAAGTGAAGACGAAGGAAGAAGACGACCAAATACTTACAGCAAAGCCAAAAAGCAAATTCTATTCAATCAAGTCTTTACCTTACAAAGCAAACCTATTCTAGTTTATATATATTAACCCTATTGCCAGATTTAAGAAACCCAAGTAGTCTTTTCCAACAAGACAACTCATTCTAATTAATCAATTTCCTATTTAGCCAAGGATTAATTAACAACTAATAATAATACATTATAATAGCAAAATAATTGCAATAAATAAATAATTAGGTCAAACTCCAACAGCCTCCTTTGATTCAAATTCTTCAATCTTGATTATTCTCATAATTTGCTTCAACTTCATGAACATATCTAATTTGAGTGGCTTGGTAAAAATATTTGTAATATGATCCTTAGATTGATAATATAAAATCTCAATCTCGGCATCAATAACCAAGTCACGAATATAATCACCGTTGACATTAATATATTTGGTCTTCTCATGAAAAATTGGATTTTTTGGAAATGTGATAGTTGACTTATTACTATAGAAAATCTTTGAAGAATTTTTTGTTCATGCTACAAAAATCCAAACATATGACGTAACCACAGTGCCTGAGTAGCACAACTGTTGGCTGCATTGTACTCTACTTCAGTGGTAGAAAGAGCAATAACTTGAAGTTCTAAATTAACTTCTAGTTATTTCCTGTGAAAATAAGATCATAATCATTCATACATCAACGCACAATAATAGTATCTCCCTTGGAATTAATTTTGACATATAAAGTGTGTTCATAGGGACATCTCTAAAAATTATTCTCCACAAGGTGTACCGAGCTCTAAGAGGTTGTTTACACCCATACACAGCCCTTTACAACATGTAGACTTTGTTTACCTCCCTTTTATTTACATAACTAGCAGGTTGTTCAACATAAACTTCCTCCTCAATGACATTATTCAAAAAACTGATTTCACGTCTACTTGAAATATCTTCTAAAAATTATCAGCAACAAGAGAAATAATCATACGAACAGTACCAAGCCTAGCAAAATGAGAAAAAACCGCAAGATAATCAATACTTGACTTTTATTTGTAACCCTTGGCTACTAACCTTGCTTTGAAACGATTCACATCTCTGTTCGGCTTGTACTTTGTCTTGTATACCCATTTAATTCTAATGGCCTTCTTTTCCTTAGGAAGAAATTTGAAATCATATTTCGAGGGCTATTATAAATAATTTATACATCCATGTAATTATTTTAACCAAAAAAAAAAAGTTAAAAAGTTACTTCGAACAGACTTTTTCAACTTTTTATAGAACACTCCAAATGGTTTTGTATAACTTTTTTAATTCTGATTTTTTTTTGCAAAACCTTTCAAGCTGCAGCTTTTCACCAAAAAAAACCAACTATCAAACAGGCACATTAATTACAATAAAAATTTGTCAAAAAAATTCTATTTATTATACTATGTGTTTCAAATATATGTTTAATGTTGCTGATCACAACATCTTATAAACATGAAGGAATTTATTTTTCACAGGAGAACTAAACCTGAACTAGTTTATTTCACCCTCCGTCACCATTTTATATCAATGGGACATATTCTGGAGGTGGTTCAATTGGAATCCTCCCAAACTGACCTTCTTCCACTTCATATTTGTCCTTGGGGTTGCCTCGACAACGTTCAGTAGCCTCACAACCTCTATTATTACAATTTGATGGACGTGGCAAGCAAGCTTCAGGGTGCTCGTTGTCATAGGGAAAACCATGTCTTGCGCCTTCTCGAAGAGCACCATAGTTGATAAACTCAACATCTGCTACTTCAATCAATGGTGAGCACACCATTATAATGCCGAGGCATAGAAGGATCGACCCTCGTAAGACAGGCATCGTTAAACAAACAAGCGTTTGTTGTTGATATATATCTAGTATATTCCTTCAACAAGAAACAAGAATCAGGCTAAAGGGAGCTTTAAGATATGTTTTGCATGGTAAGAGAAAGAATTTATTCTAAAATTTTTCTTGTTATTCTTGTAGAAAAGTTCAATGTACGTACTTCTCTTTCTGAACATATTATTAAGACTAAGAAACACGAGGAAAAATTAATGGCATATGGGTTGTCAATCGAGCTAAGAAAAAGATTCAAAGATTGAAAATGCCTGAAATACTAGGTCGACTAAAGGCGATGAAATAGAGGGAAGGTTGAGATTTATCTTGGAATAGATGATCAATAAGCTGTGAGGCCTTCAAGGTTCTGGGCAAAACACAAGCATGTTCCACCATTTGATGGAAGCATATTAACCATCTTAATTGAATAAAAGTATTTAATAACTTTAAATGGAAAATAATCAAATTTTGTAACATTAAGCACTTCTATGAACTTTGTGCATTTATTTTTATATTAATGTTGTTGCTTGAAACCTATAAAGGTTATGTCCCAAATTCAATTCACGGGAAATAGACCGTTGAGTTGCTTCTAGCGAATTGGTGGGGCTAAGTCCGACTATGGCTCAAGTCGTCTTTAGGAAGCGCTTACAAGTTCTATCGCTCCAGACCTCTCTGGAGGGTTTCCCTCGCAGGTAAAAACTGCTATGGTTACGTAGTCTAAGAAATTTCATATTTAGTCACCCTTTATAACATTTTTAATTAGCAGAAAAAAAAATTCAATTGATCATGAGATTCAATTGAAGAATAGGAGGAACATTTTTACGAAGTTGGCAGTAGCTTTCCATCGTGAACAAGGTACGCAAGCAGTAACTATTCATTGTGCCTCCACAAGCTCCAACCTACTTTCAGCATCAAGAAAAATTATAACACATTTATTGTTGAGAGCTTTTGGGGTGAGTACATTTGACATGGGCTGGTCTCAATGCACTGGGGTTTAAAGCACGTACAATTTCTTAAGCATCTTCGCCTTCATGTCGCTCATGCTCGACGCATACAATCAACTCAAGGACCACCTAATTTGCACCTAATTTGCAGATTAGATATCAACACCATACTTGAACCCACCAGATATGGGATAAGGATGCATAGATCTCACCCTCCCTGCACCCGACAGTGGAGGAAACCTGATGGACTGGGTCAGCCTTTTTACCTAAACCCATCAGACCCAAAGATTTTCTTCATGGTTTCGTCTGTCGTCTTGAACGTAGTTCACAGAAGCTTATCTGAACAATCTAAACAGTGAAAATTATGATTAATCAGTGAAAGAAAGTCCTGCACCAAACTTCAGTAAGGGAATTTTTCTATACAAATATTTGGACATGATGAACAGGGAGAGAATAGAAAGAAAAAATAACGAGAAAGCAGAATTTAACTCCCACAGCAATTTTGCAATGCACTTTGTTACAAAAGTGGAACCCGAATAAGTTGTCTTGAGACGAAATAATGATAATAGGTCAGTCATCATTATGTCCTTACAGAGTATAAGACAATGGATGCTGCAATCATTCTCGGTGTGTAATCAGGGTAAACTGAAGTAAAAGGCTGCCGTATTGAGTGGTGACAAATTCTTTTCGGACATAGTAATCCAATAACCTTTTCAGCAGCAGTTATCTGTTCTTCTTGGAGGCTTTTGTTGCGTATTAGGTCCCTGCAATGTCATTAGCTTTTAGATATATAGTGCAAAGAACTCACTTTTGAATATCACATATAGCAGACCTATTGAAACTTGGAACATCATTTAAGCAAACTATTGAACACCAATCTTTTTACCATTTCTATTTACAGCTTCCATGGAGATCAAATAATAAAGAGGTTCATAAACCCTCGAAAAAGAAAGAAAGGAGAGGAGGGGGGCGGGGGGGGGGGGGGGGGGGGGGGGGGGGGTGTTTGTAAATAATAAGTGATATTATTATGATGTTGTATTTACTCAAACCCTAGTCTCTCAAAGTATCTGCTTTTAAAAAAAATTATTTTTAACTTTGTTTAATTATTAATAAATATTTAAATAAATGTTGAAAACTCATACCCAAACCCAAGGATCGTGATCCATACCCAAACTAAACCCAAAGAATTCAAATTCATTATTGAATCCCCCAACTGTAATGTGATAAATCTAATATGAATGTTATATTTAATTAACTAATATTAACAGAATAAAAAGGGCCAATTACAGCTCATCTAAGAAGGTCAAGGCCGAACTAATAATCAAGCCGTGGGTTTGCCCTTTTTTTTTTTTTTTTGTAAAATTGTGTGTAGGTACCTAGCGGAGGACTTTTTTATGAAAGAAGACCTTGAAAAAAATATGTTATAGATAAGTAACGCTAGATTGAAATGTATTGTAGAGAGATACAGTATTTTTATTCTTCTCTTTACTATAATATCCTTTCTCTATTTTTATGATCTTTGTATTTTGATAATTGCTTTTTATATGGAGATTTGATTTTATTGATAAGCAACCTCCTAGCCTAGAATATTTCTTTTTTTTTTTTTTTGAATTTTAAACATCTAAATCATCCATAAACAACGCAAACATCTAAACAAAAAACCAACGCCTATTTTAAAGTTGGGGTCATCATCATTTTAAACTCACCCTGATCAACACCCAATTCCATCGACCTTTTACTGTATAGCTTTATATCCAACGTTATCAACATCAATTAATCCCAAGCATTTCAGAATTTCTTTTCCATCACATAAAATGACAGAATTGTGAATACACTGATCTAAAATAAAACACTCAATATCATTTAAATCCATGTTATTTCTTATTTGGATTAGAAACTTTGAAACCTTTAGCTTGGGATCTTGTAATCCTTTTGAAGTTCCTTTCCATCAACGCCTCATTCAATTGCTGAGATTGCCTCTCTAATTCAGCTTCCTGTTTCTTCTTAATCTGCTCAGCATAATTAAGTTTAGCAAAGAGGTGTTTGGACTTGGACATAAAAACTTTGAGCTTCGCTTGAGACGGCCAATCACTAGTACCATCTGAAGAATATCCTTTATCAATACAAGCCTCTAAACACAATTCCATATAGCAGTCATCTTTGGAATACACATTATTTGCTTGCAAAGTTTCATGGATCTCCTGCAATGACATAGTGCATCCATGACTAATTAAATATTCATTCCATTCCTGAATGCTTCGTTTGGTACATTAAAAAGTTAGAAAGATAGATAAAACATCATGTTTGGTAAGGATGGAAAATAAGAAGGATGAAAAAGTGGATGGATGAGATTTCCTTCCAACTCACTAAAATCAATCTTTCCAAAATTGGAATGAAAGTTAATTATTTGTGTTAAAATGTATCTTATTTTATTTCTATATAGTTATTTCCCGTGCCTTAGTAGAAAAAAAATAGTCAACATATTTGTATTCATACCCAAAATCAAATCACAAATATAGAGGAGAGATAAAAAAAATTGAAACACCGATTGTAGTGGCGATGAGCTATTATAGCGGTGGTGGGCGACAGTGGTGATGGTGGGGAGACGATGATAGTTGTGGTGGATAAGGTGACGACCGTGGTGGTGGTGGTAGCAGCGAGTGGCAATGGTGATGGTGGTGATGGATTTTGAGTGACAATAATGATAGAGACAGTTATGGGCGACAATAGTGGTGGTGGACGACGGTGATGGTGGTTGGCAGTGGCGGTGGTGGGACAAAGACAGCGGTGGTGGACGATGATGATGGTGCTGATGGTCGACGATGAGTGCTTCTTGGCGATAGTTTGATGGGTGGTGGTGAATGAGAAACTTATTTGTATTCATATCCAAAATTAAATTACAAACCTAGAGGAGAGATAAATAAATTTAAACACCAATTGTAGTGTGGGTGGGCGATGATGGACGATAGTGGTGATGATGAGAGACGATGATGGTTGTGGTGGGTAAGGCGACGATAGTGATGGTGGTAGCAGTCGTTAGTGGCAATGGTGTGGAAGGTTTTGAGTGACAAGGATGATAGTGGCAGTAGTGGGTGACAACGGTGGTGGTGGTGGGTGTAGGTGGTGGTGGATGACGATGATAGTGGTTGACAGTAAGGGTGGTGGGGTAACGATGGTGGTGGTCGTGTTAGTGGGCTACGATGGGTCTTTCTAGGCGACAGTGTGATGATGGTGATGAATGGCGATGGTGGTTAGCGTGGTAGGGATAGATGACAATGGGGTGACTGCAGTGGTCGACAATGACAAATGGTGGTGATAGGTGTGGTGGGGTAGGTGACAGTGGTTGGTGGCGATGGTGGACGACGATGGGTGGTGGTGGGTGTTGATAATGGGCAACTGTGGTATTGGGATGATGGTGGTAATGGTAATAAATATAAGAATAAAATGACAATGGTGGTAGGTGGTGGCTATAGACGACAATGGTAGAAATTAATGGTGGGTGGCGATGGGACAGCAAGGGTGGGTAAGGGGTGGAAGTGGGGCAGTGGCAATGGTGAGGGTGACAGTGTTGGGTTGGCGATGGTGGTGGTAATTGCGATGGTCATGGGGTGGTGATGGGGCAATGGGGGTGGTAGTGGGGCAGTGGGGGTGACAGGGGTGATGGTAGGACAATAATGGTGATAGGAAGGTGCGATAACAATGGTGGTGTGAATGGTGGTGGTGGGGGTGGGACAGTGGTGCTAGTGGTAGTGATGATGGTAAGGTGGTGGTGGGCAGTGGTGATAGTTGTTATGGTGGTGGTAGGGCAATGGAAATGGTGATGGTGGGTATGGTAAGGTAGCGATAGCAATGGTAGTGGTGGTGATGGTGGTGGTGGTGGATGTGGGCCGGTTTCAAACATTATTTTTTTTTGTAAAATATTTATGATAAATAATTTATAGAAATACTTTAAAAAAATTATTTCAAACAAACTTTTAAAGGTCTATTTTTCCTATTAAATTTGGAATGTTAATATTAGCCGTTAGATTAACTTTAAAGTAAAATTTAAAGTGATCTCAACCACGAATAACAAAATTCATTTTGTTTATCATTTGAATTTTGAATTTTATTGTACTTTATTATATAAATATATCCTTTGATGTATACATATATTATGTATACATTAATGTCGTATATAAATACAATAATAAAATATGTATTTATACTTTTATATTTTAAAAATTAAAAATTAAAATTTAAAATTTAAAAAATATTTTTTTTATCTTATCAAGCACAAAAAAAATTAATTATTTTTATTTTCTATCTATCCTACTAAATATGAAGGAAAAAAAGTGTATCATTCCTGTTTTTCTTCCTTGAATGATAGAAAGTGTACTCTTTCTACTTTCCATCAATTCTACCAAACGGAGCATAATGGAATTTAAAGTTAATTAGTCATTGACCTCCTCCATCCTTGGCAAGACAACCACTAGCTAAAAAGGCTGAGGATTAGCCCTCAAACAACTAATCTCAATTGAACATATATTGAAAAAACAGGCTTCATTCCCATTAGAACATTCTAAATCCAAATGTTATTAATCTATAACTTGAACTGGATCTTCCTCTGATGAATCATAAAGGATCTCCTCCTAATCTTCATATCCACTTTCTAATGGTATCTTTGGTAGAAATGATAGAAAATAGGAGGGATTGAAAATATGAGAAATTGAACTTTCCATTCTTAGAGAAAATAAATATGTTTTCACTCATTCTAGTTTGGTAAGAAGAATGAAAAAGTAAGATAGATAAATTTTTTATTATTTTATTTAGAATAAAAAATAAAATAAATAATAAATAATATGTTAAATATCATAAATGTCCTATTAAATGTGAACCCACATTATTTTCTTTGTCGAGTGAAAGAAGTAAAAAAAGGTGGATCCCACGTGTTTTCTATTTTTCTAAAAGAGTAAGACAACAACCATTTGGAGGGCATAAAGGTAATTTAACAAATGCAATCATTTTGTCCAACGTTTCTCTCCCCTTTTTTGTCTAAATTTGGGCGGATTAAATTTGGTGGGCGTGAGGTATAGGCTTTCCTTCCTCTTTTCTTTCCTCTTCATTTTCCTTCTTCAACCAAACAAAGGAAAATATCACATTCCCTCTTATTTTTCATCCACCCTTTTTCCATCCATCCATTTTCCTTCCTACCAAACAGACTATTAAGGTTAAAAGAAACCTTTTTAGAGTCTTGCTTGACTATCAAATCTGTCTCCTTCCTAACTATAAGCTTCTACAGTATTCTCTCTACTGAATTTATTTGCACCTCTTGATCTTTTTTCTACACCATCCAAAGCTATAGCCCGATCATTTAAGTTGACATTCTGAGATGTTTGTGAAAGGTAAGTGAGCAGAAATCTCCCCCTCTTCCAGATTTGCATGAAAAAAAATTGAAGATTAGTTGCCCTTTACACCAAAAGTCTCCCCCTTTTCCTATTGTAACTCTTTCGAAGAATCTTTACCTTATTCAGGCTTCTGTTGCTTCTTTACCCCACCATCATCATCTCCTGGTTGAATTGGTCTCTTCTTTTCACAATCTATCTCCTCATGACCTTGTTTAAAACAAACACAACAATTCTTCCTTTCCTTCTCATAAATAGGGGAGCAGATCCTCTGCTGTTGGGAGAAAACCGCATGACATGCGGTTAAGTGGAACGGTACAGTTTCACTTGTTTTTTGTAATTTTTTTTTATTCACCCTTACCAAAACGACGTCGTTTTGGTTCTTCAAATTCCAGATCTGCAGTCTCCCTCTTTCCCCCACTTTCTACTTCTCCCGCCTTCTTCTTCCTCAACTCAATCGAACTGAGCATAATGAAAACTTGAAGCATAACATAATGAAAATTTGATCGGCTGCCTCTTAGATCTCCTCTTGGTCAGAACACGCTATGCATTTTCTAATCATGGCTCCATTATGGCATTTACTCGATGCATCATAAAATTTCATGGGCTTCTAATGAGTTTGTTCAGCTGAATCATTGAACTCCAGGAGTAACCTAAGTTATCATTTCTTTTTTCTTTTTCTTCTTCAAATATTGTGTCGATTGCATTCTTGTGTAACCCACAATTGTTGATATATGAAAATTTGTTGTAACAGATCATTGTTCGGCATACTATTCTTTTTGGCTCAAGTTGTTGTTTAAGTATGTCATGGTTTTTAGAATAATTATCAAATTGCATTCACATATCAAATGTGGATTTGATAATTCTTTTTTTGGTTTTTGTTAGAAGAAAAACTTTTATTGATTTGTATCCTGGAAATCAAAATGAGGAACAAGTAGAATCTGTTTCCAATCTAAATAAGAGTTCCAAAAATTATTTTCTTCATGTCTATTGTTCAATAATGACGCTTATATAAGCTTCTATATTGGTATGTACGGTTTCGGTTATTTATCTTGGAAATAATTTATGTCTCACTTTAATTTTAATTTTACTCATAGGATACAATGATGGATGATTTGGGAGTTAATGCGACTGATAATATACCTCATATTGGTATGCAATATGATGCGGAGGAAGATGCTTATGCGTTTTACAATAGTTATGGAGGGTCTGTGGGATTTAGCGTGAAAAAAGATTATCAGAATAAAAGCTTGAAAGATGACATTGTCATTTACAGAAAATATGTTTGTTGTAAACAAGGTCATAAGAGTCGTGATAAAAGAGAGGGTCAAATAAGGAAGCCTCGAGCAGAGGCAAGAATAAATTGCCAAGCTCATATGTGCATATCTCTTAATAGAGAAATTGGTAAATTTGTTGTGGTGAAGTAGGACGACAACCACAACCATCATTTGCACCTTGCTGAATGTATGCATATGATGTCATCCCAACAGAAGATTACCGAATCACAAGACATTAATATTGATATGACAATGGATTGTGAATTGTCACTTAAGGCTTTCTATGAACTTTTAAGTACTCAGTCTGGAGGAAAGGAAAGTCTTGGTTTTACTCGTCTTGACCAAAAGAATTACCTCTATGAAAGGAGGCAACGAGAGTTGAGGTATGGTGAGGCGGATAGTTTGTTGAAATATTTTCAAACGGAAGCAGTGAAAAATTCATCATTCTATTATGGAGTGCAATTGGATGCGAAGGAGCATATTACTAATATTTTTTGGGTCAACCCAGTGATGATTATTGACTATGACAACTTTGGAGATGTTGTCTCATTTGACACTACTTTTAGAACGAACAAGGAGTATCGACCATTTGCTTGTTTTACTGGCTTCAATCATTTCAGGGAGACAGTCTTATTTGGAGCTACATTATTGTATGATGAAACGACAACATCATTTTAGTGGTTGTTTGAGATATTCCTACAAGCTAGGTCTGGGAAATTTCCTATTACCATCTTCACCGACCAAGTTCAAGCGATCGCTAAGGCTATTTCTATAATTATGCCAAAGACATACCATGGGTTATGTACTTGGCACCTTTGTCAAAATGCTTTGAAACATTTGAGAAACATATATAAGGATAGTTCACATTTTCCTACTCAATTTAAAGAGTGTGTATAAATATGAAGAAGAGCATGAATTACTTGAGGCTTGAGAATCGTTTCTTGCGGAGTATAATTTGCATGATAATATGTGGATGAAAGCCACTTGGGCATTGCGAGAGAAATGAGGGCATGTGTATATGAAGAGGACTTTCACTGTAAGAATGAGAAGCACCCAATTGAGTAAGAGCTTGAATGCAGCCTTACAGAAGTACTTAAAGTCAGACCATGACATTGTTCAGTTCTTTGTACATTTTGAAAGAGTTGTGAATGATAAGCGGTATAAAGAGTCAAACTCAGAGTACCAAGCTAGGAAAAAATTATCCAGATTGAAGTTAAAAAGAGCTCCAATGTTAGTGCAAACTGGGCAAGTGTACACTCCTACTATGTTTGAGTTGTTCCAAGAGGAGTATGATATCTTTCAGTGTGCTATTGCAATACCATGTGATGTGTTGGATGGATGACATCAATTTGTGGTTCGATTATATGATGAATATAGAGAGTATTTGGTCTTGGTTAAGGCTAATGAGGAGATAGTTAATTGTAGTTGTTGGATATTTGATATGGAGGGAATATTATGTGGCCAAGCGCTTAAAGTCTTGGATATGATGAATATTAAGCAAATTCCCGAGCAATACATATGTAAGAAATGGAGACGAGATGCAAGAAAGAGTTGTAGGCCAGCCCCCATTTTAATGTTAAATGAAGAAAATCCAAAGTTAATGGTGGTGTCACGTTACAGGCAGCTTTGTCCTAGGATGGTACAATTAGCTACTCGATGCTCTGATCTTCAACCTGCATATGAATTGGTGTCACGTGGTGTTGAGGAATTGTTCAAACAAGTGGATAGTATGTATGTATCAATTGGCGATGGTGGCGATGATTCAATCCATGAAAATGTTGACCCAATCCATGAAAATGTTGATTTAAGTGGAATAGAAAATATTGACCCAAACCTTCTCCAAGTTAAAGGTTTAAAAAGAAAAGAAGGTGGTTACAAGGGTTGGGATCGACTAAAATCTTGGCATGAGAAAGTAGCAAAGAGAAAAAAAGGAGCTTCCTAACCATTACATATTGTAGATTTTTTTAATTCACTTTATATTTTTATTCACTTCATATTTTTATTCTCTTCATATTTTTATAAACATAATTATAAGTATTTTTTTATTCTAGGTACAAGGTTTCAGTCACCCGTGTATTTCAGCATATGGTCAATTGATGTCTTCTCAAGCTTCAAAGAGTGTACAAAATGTTATGGTATGTTACCTTATTGTTAATTTTATTATTTCACATATTTATCAAGTTTCTTTGTCTGATCCCTCCTCATTAATATAGGGTATTCTGACTGATTCAACACATGTGCACTCTTTAAACGATGCTGAATCGTTCTTCAAACTGAACAGGCTTAAGCTTTACTGATCATTAAACTTTACTGTTGTAGATGATCAGTAAAACTCCAAGAAGCAATTTATTGAATGCTAACATATTGAGGAAAATTAACATATTAAAGCAGGCTTTGAAAAGAATTAACCTAAAAAATTCCAAGCTCATGATATATTCAAGTTCATGTATACCTTCAGGAAATCAATTTCATTTCTATTACACGAAACCATACATCACCACACTGGCCAAAACCTTGTCTACTGAGTAGACAACTGCGAAGCAAAGTTATACTGTACAATTCTAAAAGCCATGTTTTGGTTCACCATAAAGAAGACAAAAGATGAGGCACTACCTTGTCCTAGCAGGGATATTCAAAGAATTTACTAGCAACTTTAATATCAGACCTAGCAAATCTCAAGCAGAATTTATAGCTCAAAATCACATCTTTAAAATTTTAACTAAAAATTTCGGAATTCCACAATGGAACTTGGAGCACAACAACAACAAGCCGTAAAATAAACCACAATTTTTTACCAAGAAAGCACCCATAAATTATTTGAAGAAAGCACCAAGAAACCACAATTTCATTACCAAACAACATTCACAAATATTTGAAAAAACCAAAGAAAAATAAAATACATGGGTTTTTTTGTGTGAATAAGAATCTAAGGTTAAGCTTTTGTGTGAAAAATTTTTACCTGATCGTTTGAGATGGGAGCAGCGATTGGTAACCTCCTTAGTCTGATTAATGGGAGCAGCGATCGACGAAGACGAAGGTAGGCAGCAAGAGGAAAGAGAAGGGATTTCAGAAAAAGGAAGCAGCAAGGGATTTCAGATGTGGGGGAGTAGAACCAAAAACGACGTCGTTTTTGGTTAGGGCTGTTAAAAAAAGAAATTATAAAAAGCATCCAAAAATGGTGCCGTTCCACTTAACCGCATGTCATGCGGTTTTCTCCCAACAGCAGAGGATCTGCTCCCGAAACTTTCTGCCAACGACTTCTAACACCTCCCATCTCTAACCAAATATGATCTGGGTTTTCTTTTAATAAATTGATCAAGACACAAGCACGAGATACACTTGGCCTTGAGAAATTCACCGTTGGACCATCAATTGCTACAACCTTACCTATAGGACTTAACAAATCCTCCAAAAACCTTCTTGGAAATAGATGTAGAGTAACCCCAGAAGATTCACCCACATAGGCATACAAGTGGGTACAACCCCAGATTCAAAATCTGGAAACCACTTAAAGAAACGAAACAAATGGCCATCAATGTAAACTATATCCTTCAACAGTAATTGATAAAATCATCATAGTGTTTGAATCTTAATAAAACATTTCTTGAATCCAAGTTTCTCACTGAAAATTCCCCTTTCATAGACAACTTGGAAGCGATGAAATCCTTTATAAAATTTAGGGATGGCCGACCATAAGAACACTTACCTATGATAGCCAACTCCAATGGCTTGAAAGCATCATTCATTTCATCTTTGGTCCAAATAACAGTGGTGTCACACCATTGTTAATCACCACCCTTTTTGGTGGCTTTTGCACTACAGCAATTGGTTTTTATTGGTGATTTATCACATTTGTGGGTGTTTTTACTAAATTGATAAATATTTTTATCACTATCGTATTAACTATTTTTACTATTTTTTTGGTACCACAACAGTGGTAAAAGCACTTACAAATATGATAAAAGTAACCATAAATGTGATAAATGTAGATACGATATTGGGAAAAAAAATTTGTAACGTAGTCAACTCCGAATTTATAGGGAGACTTTTATCCTATATTAAGACAATTAGTGTTTTTCCAAATTAAGAAAAACCGCCATTTCAAATGAACAGCTTAAATTGTGATCGAGTAAAACCGTGTTAAACTTGTTGTTCACACTCTGAAATTAGGCATTCAAAATGGCCAAGCTTGG